CCACATCAAATGGTATCTCCAGGGCGTCAACCGCGCAATGCCGGAGAATATCCCGGAGTACGCTCTGGAGAATATGGATCGCTTCCCCATGAACAGGATTTGCCCGGATGGGGATCCTCGTACGAGAACAGATCTTCGTGAATTTTATGGTGGGAGTGACGTTAAGGACAAGGCGATGGAAATTGAACTTCCACTTCCTATGCACACAGAAAAACCGGTCCCGACGTCGCTTACGCTTGAAGCTGAGGGGTGGCAGGGGTTGCCTGGGTGGCGTAAGGAGGGAGAGGCGGAGGGGGATGGGGATTTGACCAGGCCCGAGGCGCCGTACTTGCGTGATGTGGTTAGGGATGGGTATGGAGGTGGAAGGAGGGATATTTGTGGGTAGAATTCGGCGGAGAGGTGTTTGGTGGTGTGAGGGGCTGGGGGGTTGTGGGTGCGCTGTGTATGTTGGGGGGGTTCGCGTACGTACACCTAGGAGGTATGGATTTGCTCTATTGCCTTGGGTTTATGTGTTTGGGGGTTGCGAGACTGGCTGACTGACTGACTGGATATAGGATGTGGCTATACACTGGGGTCTAGATGTGGAGGTTGCAGAACGTCTACGGCTATATGGGATATAGGGCACGAGACTATGGGATATATGTTATCAGCCAAGGAAGGAAAAGGAGGTGTTATGTCGCAGCTACCTGAGTACTTACTTAGGTATACACATACCGTGTCGGTGTCGGATTTGCTGTATACGTGTTGTATGTTTGAAAGGAAAGGAATTTGTTTTGTTTTTCGGGATATTAAAAAAGAAAAAAGAAGGAAAAAGAAAAAAAAAATAGGACCATGGGTTGTGGATTGATCATGATCAATACTTATCTGAGTTTAGTTTAATTTAATTAGCTTATGAAGAAATAAAGGATAGTTAGCTGTATAAAGAATAGTTCCAGAGGTCGAAGAACTCGGCTCTCCGAAAAGTCACGTGCACGTCTCCTCGGGTGTAGCTATTTTCTGTAATTGATTGGATTGTCGGTTCGAACTGTTTGCTGATTGAATTTGGGAATTTCATGCCAGCAACTAGAAGTTCAATAGTAGGCTTTCAAATTTAAGCTTGTTCGATCTTTGGAACTAGGTAGGGAAAGTGGGTGGGTGGTACATCGATTTGTATGTAGGCCTGCTTGTTTTCTAGTATACTATACTATGGATGGAAACGGAAGGCCGGAGGATAACCGCAAATTCCATATGGCCTTGGAATCGGAATTCAATAAGTACAGTACAGGAAGGGTAGCTGTGGAAGGAGCTCGAGAGGTAGATAGGTGGAGAGGTGCGTACGCTCATGGCGAATATGATGGAGCTTGTAAGCAAGCTCGCGGGAATATCGGAGTGGTACTACTTACCTAGGTAGTCTTGAAGGTGAGTTATAGTTATGATTTTATCGATGTCTTTGTTGGGTGATGTTGATGTCAAGGTAGGAAGGAGGTGGGGATCCATATTAGGTTTGTATGTAAGTAAGAAGTAACGATGAGCATGATGGCATGGCCATGGGGAATCGATCTGCTAGCTTACCTACATACCTACCTACCTATAGCTATAGCTTAGGTAGGTATGGTAAGGTGGAATATCGCCTATCGCCCGAACGTTCCCCATGGCCAGTGGCATGATTAGGTATGATGGAGTCTGTCCATGCATGTTCGTCGTCTACATACAAAATCGATCACAAACTCCCTGATTCTACGATACTTATATCGAGAGATATGGATAAGTATAGTTCTGCTAGCTAGCTGTACGTATACTCCGCAATATATTATCACCAGTACGTATACGATATCTACCTATATGTAGCTATATATAGAATTTTGAGGTTTAACAAAGGAGCCCTGTGCGGCCGGGTCTGAGATGGCCATGGTCGACGTCGGCGAAGGAGAAGGGATTGAGATTGAGATTGAGATTGAGATTTTGCTGGGTGGGTCATGCACGCATGCATGCATGGTCAAGAAGCTTACGCTTAAGGATTAGTATGTTATTAGCTATAGGGCCCCGTGAGAGGATGGATAGGATAGGATTGGTTATGGGATGTGGTGGTCATACTTATAATAGGTACCGTCTTTAGAGACAAATATATATCGTACGAGGTACTTACATAGGTATCACCATATATCCCGAAGTTAACTGTTTCAAATAGTACTAGTTGTATGTAACGGGGTACAGGGTATACGTACTGGCATATATATATACATACCTTTTGGTCATGTGCACAGGATGATAGTTGGGCAAGGCTAGGCAAGTATCGGTACCAAGTATGGCAATAGAAGAGAGCATCAGGGGAACGAGTTTATCGTGATTCTGTGATCATGATCGGGTGATCGCAGCATGTCAGTCGACGTCTCACAACAGTTTTCCATTGAATGTTATATGCGAATTCGAATACTTGGTGAAGATTAATTTTAGAAATTCATGAAAAAAATTATATTTAGGGGAGCTCCGGAGTGTAGCTGTGGATTTCTCACAAGAAAAGAATCTTCTGCTCTGGAGCACCCGATCACAAGAAACTCGCTAAATTATTTCCCCTGATGCTATCTGTACATACAGCATACATCTTGACATTAATATCAAGGGGTACTCGGTACAACTCCGCAACGCTCTAGTGCAATAGAGTATTTTGTCCTATAATATATATATATAGCTAGCTAGCAGTAGGTACCTTTTTTCCTTCCCTCCCTCCTTCCATACCTGAATATATAAACCATAATTCCCAAGATCTAGTACGCCCTTTTTTTTTGTATCTGTACATCTACATCCACCACCTCATCATTAAATCCTTCTCCGCTAACTATATCTATAGCTAAATCAATCAACTTTCAGGTCCTGCGAGCTTCAGTTCGGAATTCCATATCTAGATCTCTGCAGACTAGTGCGTGAGCTATCAAAATCCATTGGAATTTAAAGTTTAAAGTGGGGGTACCTTTCTAGATCTTCTTGGTCTGGGTAGTTACGTATCGAATCCCTCTCCTCTGGATCTCGGAGAGACATCTCGATATCGATCTAGACTCTTCTCCCTCCATCACTTTTTTTAGTTCTTCTATCTTCTCCGCGGCTTAAGCTTTTGCAGAGTACCCACCAAACACCCGGATCCCCATCCAGCAGACCACCCAGCCTGCAGCTTCGAATTCGGACAGCAGAATCTTACAGATTACTTAGGTATAGGCTTGATGCCTGCACTACCACTTCTGCCGCCTCCGCTGGGAATAGTAGGTGTACAAGTACAAATAGTACAAAGAGACATCATCGCCGGAGGCGACGTCGACCGCGTCACGCATCTCCCGCGGCCGGCAAGCATGATTTTCGGGGTCACGGTTGCTGGGACGTTGGGTGTATTTGGGCTTTTTTATTTGTTAGTATAAGCTTAAGTTATTCCCTTCCCTTCCTATACCTAATCTATATTCTCCCCCCCAAGGTCCTTCCCACTTTTATCCGGATCCTCCCGAGCCCTCTTTTTTATACATATAATATTCATCTCCTTTTCGTTTTTTCCAATCCTAACGATACATTTCAGGGTAACGGCCCTCGTGAAGATGTGGGTCAAGAGTAAAAGCTCACCAAGCTTGATCTCGATCTTGAGCTCGACCTCCAACTATCCGGATCCCACTGAACCTACTGAGCTTCCCCAAAGAGGAAGAAGGAAGGAAAAAGGTATCAGTATCATCAGGGATCCGGATACCGGTACCGGTGGTTCGAATTCGAAGGTTAGGGTAGCTGTGGTGGTGCCAGGGTTACCCTCAACTACTACCACCGCCACCACCACCAACACCACTCCCACCGACGATCCAAGTATAATCGGGGGTGAAGGTAAAGAAAAAGTGAAGGGGGGGGATATCAATGCATATGAGAAGGAAAAAGACGACGATCGCGAAGAAGAACCTCAATGTGCACATGCGCATAATAGGGGTAGATCTATATCTAAATGCATATGTCCTTTAACTCCGAGAAACGTTAACGCTTCTACTTGCAATCGCAACTGCTGGGGCCAGAACTGCTGCAGGATACCGGTCCTGCAAAAACCCGGGAAGGCGGTTTTGGAGACGGAGAAAGTACCTGGGAAGTTGGGAGGGGGTGGGGGATGGGGGTGGAGGTCTCGATTAGGTTGAGGTTGAGAGTGATGGGTGCATTCATGCGCCGGAGGAAACTTAAGGAGGCTCGCTCGGGGAAGGGTGTAGTTCGAATTTCTTGGGTGTTTTGATGTACCTAGGGACTCACTCTACTTATTAAAGTTATGAAATGTCGATAATTATCGAGTGACTGAGAAGAAAAGCTAGCCATTCGCGAGGCTTTTCACAATTCTCAGCTTACGGAAGAAAGCAATAAAATACCAAGCAACTACCCACCGCACAAAGATTTTGAAAAGAAGTTATAAAAAAGGGGAATTCAAATTTTATAACACATAAGATTCTAGGGACTTTCAGGAGAGGAGAAAATAGATCGATGGTTTTCAAATTTACTATATCTATCCGCATATATACACACCTACTTAACATCCTCATTATCAATCTACCACAAATACTTTTGGTGCACGAGTTCAGGGTAATCCCCATCAAGGCCTCAAAACCACACGAAAAAACGGGCAAAAATCATAGAGCTCTCAGACTTGACGTAAGCTCAAGGGAACCCACCTCCGGGTCTCCTAAAGCTTAAAGCCTTACAAAATCGACCGAACTCTAACTTCGAAACCGCTGCATGTAGCTCATATTTGGCTGACGACTCAGGGTAATTCCCATCGATGTCGCAAAACCTCACAAGATCAAGCCTATATAACCCTATATCAATGTCAGGGAGTGTTGGCTCGTATTTCATATCTATATGGAGAAAATAGTTCATTGGGTAGCTTTTCTCTCATGTCAATAATTGTCAAATGCCTATTTTTCTATTCGTTTTTCAAAAAAATTGATTTAATCTGCCAGCCAGTTTGCCAAACTCTAGCATCATGTCAGTAGTAACTTACGTAGATAGCGGCAAAATGAAGGTCGAACTGGGAGTCGAACCCAGGTCGCAGGAAATTTCTTCAAACAGGATCTGTTGATTCAAAATCCTATGTGCTACCGTTACACCATTCAACCGTTCTCGTTAGGCGAAGTGGGATAGCGAATTATACTTTTATGTCTTCTGCGCAGCTTGAAAATGGATACGAAATTAATTAGAAGATTTAGAAGAAAAGATATTATATACTTGCAATCGATATCTAAATACCGGTCGCTCTTCCATCAGGATTCTAGGGTTCGAAGAAAATGAGTGAGAAATGAAAATTAAAAAGGAAAATGAGGAGAAAAGTGATTGTATAATGAAAATCCTGCTCACGTGCCAATGCAATCTACCCTTCGATCACGATTCCGAGGTTATGACAAATATAAATGAAATATAATTATAATGTGAACTAAGAAACTTGAGAACTAGAAAACGCTATGCACGACGATAAATATATACCTGGATATGAACACCTCAATCAAAGTAGCTTAGATGCTTCTTCAAAGGAGTAACAACCCTGTGCCACACTTGACTCTTGAATTTGTCGTCCAAAAGCTGATTTCCTTTCAGACACATCCCATTCACACATGCTTGGACCGCATCAAGAAACATGCCATCGGCATTATTATCCTGAAGCTTGGACCACCATGCTTTTATTGTTTGGTCGGCCTTTGCATCGGACAGATGATGGTTTTGCGTAGCAATGGAAGAGTTTTGATCTGGAATTTTACCCTGGGATGTCATATGTTCTGAATATAGACTCTCAATGCTTGCCCAAAAGTTGATCTCCACAAGTAATACGCCGAGAGAGAAAAGGAACCTGTTGCAATATATTGGAGAATCTTGATCTATGAGCACGGGTATCGGTGCTGAGCTTCCGCCGAATTGACGCTTGACCATAGGTTTATCCAATCTCACTTCGCTAGAGATATAATTTGGAGGAGAATTGGGAGGTAATTCCTTTGCCGAAAAGAAAATGTCATCTTTTCCCCATCCCTCTGAGAGCCAGTCGGTATCGTGGAGTTGCAGCACTGATGTTGCTAGTTGCACTGCAAGTTGAAATCGTTGCTTTTGCGTCGGCTGAAGCCCCTTGGACTGCCATTCGGCAAGCAATTGTGCTAGTGATACTGTTGGAGATGGTTTGAGGCCTGACCTAATTGCACAAAATGGGAAGGAATGTTGTAATAGCTGAATCTTGTATGTCCCTCCTTTATTATCCTTAATTATCCCAACTTCCCTTGTTCTTGTAAACTCTGTGCGCTGGTCCTTGTCAATTGTGTTCAAAGCCTTGCAAAAGCTGTCAACTAGATCATTGGTTGCAGCTATCAGTCTTATTGGGGTCGAAGGTCGGTCGGCCTCGAGGTTTTGTTGTGCATCGGTTACTGTCAGATAATTTCGATGAATGAGCACCGAAGCCTGTGGAAGTTCGAACCTCACTTGCTTTTTTCGTTCTTCGACTGGAACAGGTGAACTGAGACACACACTGAAGAGTTAGATGGCTCATCACAAGCTTGAGTAAATAGAATGGGTTTGGAATTGGCGGCCTGGAGAACATAGAAAGAGCAACACTTGCCTCAACTTACGGCCAGCTAAGGGCTCGTCTTCAACTTTTGCTGTGGAAGGGCTTGGACTTCTATTGTGGATAGCTGAGAATACGTTTTCGAGAGATGGACTGGGGCTTGGCTCATGTTGCAAGAATAATGTCAAACTGCCGAAGAGGTTTGTGACACTACCGAGTATTTCCCGTCCCCTCAATTTTATTGGTTTAAACCCGCTTTTCATAGCCGCCTTATATTTGGAGCGCCTCCTTATTTTCCTCCTTCTCAATGAACCAAGGCTTATGGCATCATCATTGTTGTGAGATGTAGCCGATGGTTGGATATGATTCGGAGGCCTAGGTTGTGAGAAGGCCATTTGATCAGTACTATCTGTGGTATGGTGAAGTTTGCTGTGAAGTTCATTGTGATTTTGCTCGATTGTGCCAAATAATTTTGTCGCCTCGGCTTCTGAGGGTACCACCATTTCTTCCAATAATAATTCCCGGCATTTCCATGGTGATCCCAATAGCAAGTTGGAGGGCTCGTTTACCCCGATATTCGATGAGTTGTCATATGAAAACATGAACTTGGACCTCAACCCCCATCCATCCCCGCCCTCGCTACGGGCCCCTTCCGCACTGACTTCAATCTCCTCACAGTCCAGCTGAAATGCTACTGTGTGAGATGTCTGTTCGCAATCACAATGAGGAGCTTGTAGTTTCTCCTTCCACAAATAATATAGAAGGATTGCGTTTTGCCTCGCTCGAGAATACAATTTTGTTGCTTTCCCAGCCCTCGCAATATGCTTGTTCTGGTTCGATTCTAGCTGCATTTGAGGGCTTCCATTGGCAAGTATCTGAAGATTTGAATTTATCGCACTGATGGACTTAAGTTTTTCTTGAGAATACTTTCTGAATCTATTACTTCCCAGTTTCTTTAAGCCTTTTCGTAACCGGCCAGCAGCTTTCTCCTTAGACTATTTTTTTTTTCGTAGCCTGAAGTTAGCAAAATTACTAAAACTTCTAAATGACAAAGCTTTAAAGATATGTCTCAACATTGTGGTAAGCAGTTGGTCGATTGGGGCAGGTCAATCTATTTCAAAAAAAATCACAGATTTAAATAGACTATGATGCACTGTAATATAACTTACTAAATCTTCATTTATCCTGAACTTCTCGTTTAGTTCCTGAAAGATATCCCGAAGTGTTTCCACTGTCAATAGGAAAGTCTGAATCGCATTACTTCGTAGCCTGCCGGTAAGCTTCTTTTGTGTTGCCTGGGGATCGTTCATAAACGCTTTCAACTCTGCATCTGTTGTTTCTTCCCCAAAGAGCTTGCAGCAAGTATCATGGAAGATACACAGTTGCATGTCGAGTTCCCGTCGAAATTCTTTCAGGTTTTGCTTGTGGTTTTTTATTGCGTCGGCTTCTTCGACATAGACATCGATTGCTGCTAGGATGATCGGAACGCATCCTAGGATTAAACCGGCAATCTCAATTCCTGTGACCATTGCAATTGAAGGTTAATTTTGAGGGTCAACGTTTTCTAACAGTAGAGGTTGATTAAGGGGGTTGTGTGAAGATACCTCAATTCCAAAATGAAATGTTACGTATCTATAGAGTAGGTACGTATACGATCCCACTTCGTAGCTGGCCATGTTGCACCAGTGTGGGGAGTGGGGGGACTGGTCCATAAAACGGTTACCACGTTTAATTTATCTGGTTGGTAGGCGACCAATTATCAGTTGGGGACGGAAAATAGTATCGATTGACTGCATATACATTATTATTCAAACTAGGTAAGAACTTAACAGAGTCTCATGTAATCTCGTACCCACATCATGTAGTATCTAGCATAAGTGCGGGGTGGGGCTGGGACTGGGACTGTTCTCGTGCCCACACTTCGTCATTCTCGCCCGCAAGTCGTAAGTATTTGAATTCGGCTCTGTAGGTTTATTATTGTAAAATATAACCACTTTTACCTTCAAATCTCAACACTTGGGCTCTGGATCATTCAAGTAAATTGCAACAGGCCCCTGAAATCAATTCTAGCTCAACATTTACCGCAAAGCAACCCCGATAACACGTCGCAATGATCGACACAGGCAATTTTCGGGGCTGGGATGATCAAGACAATGTATTTAAATTTCCACCCTATTCCACCGACGACGCCGATTCCCCCGCGTCAGTCAGAATATCCGTCTTATCCTTGTTCAAAGATTGTGTCACCGCTTTTGAGAATCTTCAGGATAAGCTGGGAAATGCACTCTCACGCCCACACCTCCCTCTAGACGTCGACAATTCGAATTTTCATCTACTTGCCAGAAAACTGGAAGATGACTTTGGGCGATTTAGAGCTTGGGCCGGAAGCTGTGGAGCTCACCGAACTGGGAAGGTTTCCTTGGATCATAAACTGAGGGAGGCTATTAATGTTCATGACATGGTCACACGTCTTCTTAGGGATTTAAAGAATGCATTGGAAGAAGGTTTGTCACTATCACAAATACTACATTTTATAGGCATGAAGTATAACTGATCATATATCATCTATCCATAGCCAGGATATGTATTAGAAACGAGTTCAAAGTCAACAAAAGCTCAAGCCTTTCGTCTGTGGAGCTAGATGGAGAATCGCAAGCGTCTGAGGCATCGAGCGATTGTTCTATCTCTTCCATCTCAATTTCAGATTCAGAGTTACAAGGCGATGATGTGGATGAAAGGGCGTTGACCGACTCAGACTTTGCGTTCATGGACATTTCACATATCATTGGCTGTCTATACAAGTTTTCTGTTACCTTGCGGCAACCAGCGCTCAGAGACAGGATACAGAAATGTGCGAAAATCGATGTCTCCCATTACGAGTTCTGGGATATCAAACACGCATCGGAAAAGTTTCCCATGGCGCCAGACTATTTGATTCAAAGGCTAGGCAAGGCCAATGTCAAACGCCGCCAATTACTACTATACCACAAGAAGCATCATGACAAGATCACAGGATATATCAACACAGCGGCCGATAATTCCAGATCAAAGGAGGCGCACGATATCTTGCCCAGCACAACTCCAGTGCCTCTGGAACAACGAGACGTAAAATTTGAATTTACTGAGAATCGATATCCAGATGCGAATATACTGTTTGGGGGCAGACCGGAAACTCAGCATCAGAGCGTGGATGAATCACGAGCACCGGAAACGTTGATTGAGAGCTACCTAAGTCAAACAACGGTCACAGCATTTAACCCCGAGGCACTAAGAAGCGAAATTAAAGGAAAATCGGTGTATGAAGATGGAGAATCTGATGGTGAAAAGTCAGTAACCTCATACGCTATGTCAGATAGAAGCACCTCGGACACGACCTACAGATTACATGCTCCAATGTGTCCAGTAGATACGTCAGATAACCCATTTCAATGCCCATATTGCTTTGATATCATCAGCTTAGAAAACACAAACATCTCTTGGATGTAAGTCAACTGTGAGCCCAATTAGATTTGTTTAACATACCTCGACGATATTTTGCTGCTTGCTACTTACACATTTTTTTGTACGAAGGAACCA